AACATTTTGTCTTTTTCCAAAAGAACTTTCAAAATATTAATGCAACTTTGAGCTTTTTTTTACTTTTATAACTTAAGTGTATTAACTATAAAACAAAGCAATAAAATTATAAGCACTCTGGGGAATCAGTTGTACTGACATTGATATACAAAAATAATTAGGAATTTATACTGAAAATGTGTATTATTAAAAATTTTAAAATACAGGTTGAAATTAAGAATGTGGTGATTGAGCCGGGCGTGGTGGCGCACGCCTTTAATCCCAGCACTCGGGAGGCAGAGCCAGGCGGATCTTTGTGAGTTCGAGGCCAGCCTGGGCTACCAAGTGAGCTCCAGGAAAGGCGCAAAGCTACACAGAGAAACCCTGTCTCGAAAAAACCAAAAAAAAAAAAAAAAAGAATGTGGTGATTGTATATGGATTCTAATTATGTCAAAATATTTGTTGCTTAGAATCATTTCAGGAAGAATCATTTTGGAACATTCAGTTTTTCTAAAAAGTAGGCTAAGAAATTCAGTGTTGGGGCTGGAGAGATGGCTCAGGTGTTAAGAGTACTGGCTACTCTTCCATAGGTCCTGAGTTCAATTCCCAGCAACCACATGGTGGCTCACAACCATCTGTAATGAGATCTGGTGCCCTCGTCTGTCCTGCAGGGGATACATGCAAGCAGAACACTGTATACATAATAAATAAATAAATCTTAAAAAAAAAAAAAAAAGAAATTCAGGGTTGTTGATTGCAACCATGCACTCAAGTGTATAGAAAAATTGAGAATTTTTAAAAAGATTTATTTATTTTTATGTGTCTGAGTGTTTTTTCCTGCATATATTTAAGTGCACCACATGCACGCAGTGTCCTTGGAGGCCAGAAGAGGGTGTCAAACCCTGGAACTGGAGTTAAAGGTAGTAGTAAGCCGCCTTCTAAATACTAGGAACTGAACCTGAACCTGGGTCCTTTGGAAGAGCAGCCGTTTAGGCCAGTTCTATTGCTATAATAAAACACTAGGACCAAGCCGGGCGGTGGTGGCGGCGGTGGTGGTGCACGCCTTAATCCCAGCAGTCAGGAGGCGGAGGTAGGGGGATCTCTGAGTTTGAGGCCAGCCTGGTTTACAGAGTGAGTTCTAGGACAGCCAAGGCTACACAGAGAAACCCTGTCTCAAAAAACCAGCCAAACAAACAAAAAACCATTATGACCAAGAGCCCTTTGTAGAGGAAAGGATTTATTTAATCGTAACAGAGTGGTCTATCATCCAGGGAAGTCAGGGCAGGAACTGGAGGGAGGAACCAATGCAGAGGCCACAGAGGAGTGCTACTTACTGGCCTCTTCTCCCCTGGCCTGCTCAGCCTGTTTTCTTATACCATCCAGGACCACCTACCTGCCCATGGGTAATACTGGTGAGCTGGGCCACTCAGCAGTCAGGAATCAAGGAAGTGTACTACAGACTTGCTACAGGCAAATCTTCAGGAGACATTTACTCAGCTGAGAATCCCTCTTACCAAATGACTCCAGATGACATGTTGACAGAAAACTAAGCAGGACAAACAGCAAGTGCTTTTTAACTGCTCATCGGTCTTCCCATCTCCCCAAATGGAGACTCTTGACAAGGAGCATTGAAGGTTCAGAACACTTGTGTTGTGATCTGGGAGCAGGTCCCGGTGGTCAGTGTTAGATCTGCTCAAGGGGCTTGAGTACGTCCTTTTCCTCTCCCTCCCTCCTGAGTTTTGATTGGCTCCTCAGTCCTAAATTATTGAGTTTGATTTTGAGTCTCAGCTTGGTGGCCTGATTTCCTCAGGAAGTTTCCTGGGTTTGAAAGCCCAGAGGTGTCCTGTTTCTCTGCTAGGTTGTCTCCTTAACTTGGAGAACATCTGAGCAGCCTGGAACGCTTAGGACAGCCATGTTTTCCCTCCTTCACAAACTTGAAGGCACAGTTCTGCAGTCTTTTTGCACTTGCTGGGTGTTTCTGTGCAAAGTTCCAGGAGTAGTCTGATGTGTGTGCTGTGTGACTTGTTTTTTACTCAATTGCCCATAGTTCTTTGTTGTTGTTGTTGTTTTTGTTTTCTCAAGACAGAGTTTCTCTGTATAATAGCCTGGCTATCCTGGAACTAGATCTGTAGACCAGGCTGGCCTCAAACTCAAAGAAATCCACCTGCCTCTGCCTCCCGAGTACTGGGATTAAAGGTGTTCGTCACCACTGTCCAGTGCCCATATAATTCTTAATTCTTAAAGTTCAGCAGAAATATTCCCAGTTGCATGTGTGGGTCTCTCATACACCTCTCATACAGCTCAGTTACTTAGACTCCGAACTCACAGTATGTAGCAGAAGAAAACAACTAGAGATCAGAAACACCGAGCACACAGTCTTTATCAAAATTATCTGGCTATGGATAAAAATGAAATATAGTAAATCTAATATTTAGTATGTTTAATGTTTAAAGTATTGGAAATGGAAACTGAGGCCTTTGTCGTTTGTATGAAGAGCGGCCTGGAGGTATGGCAGTGCTTGGTCTCTGAAAACGCAGGACAAGCACCTTCCCAGGCGTGGGGAGGCCTCGCGTTCCTTTCTAATTCTGGATGAACGGCAGGCATTTGATAGCGTCGTGAAATATGTCCAGAATTTCCTTTGCAGGATTACCTTCTCTGTGACATCTTTGGCCCTTATGTCACAACCAGTTTCTTAAGTTACATCAATAATTTGGCCAATATTTCATATAATTGGGAAAGAATGAGTTCTCTAAAAAGTGGATTTAGAAAATTGGCCTTTGGGGAACAAAAAGCATTAAACATTAGCAACAAAATAAATTCCAAATAGAAAAAACACTTAATTATAGGGCGTGTGTGTGTGTGTGTGTGTG